TTCAACCATTAAAGGGTCGGTAGTTTGCTAGACTTTACGTTTTTGGTTCGTACGACTTCGTTTGAAGCCGAAATTGAATTTCGTTTTTTCTCATGCGTAGCTGACAAATTTATCTATCAACCACAAGTCAACGGCTCAAAATATTATTCGAATGATTCCCCGTCGGATTTTTGGACCTACATCATCAACGCACAAAATAGAGGAAATAGAGAGGAAATAGAGAAAAATAATCGAAATAATCTATATACGACACGAACAAAAGAAAACCACTCAATACACTATTAATCGCATGAATAATGAAATAAACGACATGAAATGATACAAAAATAACGACAGAACAATAAGAAAAATCACGACAAAAACAGTACAAACAAAGTGCTGCTGGCTGAAGCAGGAGAACATGGAGAAGAGCTGCAGCAAAAGCTGGTAGGCTAATGAGAAGTCCGGTGATTGAAGGGAATTTCATTTCTTTCAGTGGTTGGAAAAGGGAGAGAGATAAGGAGCAAGATCTTCAAGTGGTTGAATTTCAAAACAAGGAGGAAGTACAGATGGGAAAGAGAGTTAAATTAGCTTCAAAGAAGGTGGAGAAGGCGAGCTTGGAGTGGCCCCAACATGACCAATGAAGGTCATGGTGTGGAACTGTAGAGGGCTGGGTGGGCCCTCTACAGTTTCCCAAATCAAGGATTCAAGAAGAATCCACCACCCACATATTATCTTTTTATCTGAAACAAAAAAAAAAAAAAAAACAGATTTTTTACTAAAACTGTATGTAATAAGCTGGGGTTCCAAGATAGATGGCACTTGCATGAGCCAGAGAAGAGCAAAGGTGGTCTTTTATTGATGTGGGATCAGGAGGTTGAAATCAGAAAGCTAGAAGGAAATGAATTTTGTATTCTGGTGGAAGTCAGGGGCCCTGGTATGAGTGAATGGTGTTGGCTGGTTTTTGTGTACATCAGCACTGACAGAAATATGAGGATTATGCAATGGGAGTTTTTGCTGGATAGGAAGGGGGATTGGGGGAGTTGTTGGGCAATTGCAGGGGATTGGAATGAAATTGTGAGCAATGAGGAGAAAAGAGGTGGGCTAGTAAGATCAGAAAATAGTTTCTTACCCTTCAGAGATTTTATTGTGGACATGGAAATGCAAGAACAAGATCAGAAAGGAGCATTCTTCACTTGGGGGAATAACAGGAGAGAGGATGGCTATGTGGAGGAGCGGTTGGATAAAGTCTTTACATCTCAGGAGTGGCTGCTGAAATTCCCTAAGATGGAGGTGTCTAACTTTTTCAGAAGTGCATCTGACCATAATGTAATCATGTATGACACTGAGATAGAACTGCAATCATCAAGAAGGAGATTTGTTTTTGATAGAAACTGGTTGAAGATGGAGGGTATTGAAGAAGCTGTGGCCAAAGGATGGGAAATGGATATAGAGGGTTCTGAAATGTTTAAAGTTCATCAGAAAGTGAAATATACTAAAAAGGCAATCTTATCCTGGTACAACCCAGTGAAGAGGAACAATGAAAAACTGATCAAAACCCTTACAGCCAAAATGGAAAAATTGAGAGAAGAGGGAAGGGAGAAGGATTGGGTTACATGGTGCTCCACAAAATGTGATCTAGATAAGGCATACATGGAGGAAGAACAATATTGGAGGGCAAAGTCTAGGGCTCTATGGCTTAAAGCTGGCGACAAAAATACACATTTTTTTCATGCTTTTGCTGCTCAGAGGAGAAAGAGAAATTCTATTTTGAGGCTTGTGTCTGGGACAGGTGAGGTGATTACTGAACTGAAGAAGTTGGAGGAACACATTGTAAATTACTACTCTGCTCTTTTCAAATCGGAAGGTTCTAATAGGGGGGATGAGCTACTCAGTCATATCCCTCAGACTGTTTCAGATGCTGCTAACAATGAATTAATCCGGCAGGTGAGTGAGGAAGAAATTCATGAAGCACTCTTCAGTATAGCTCCTGATAAGTCTCCGGGGGAAGATGGGATAACTGCTGTGTTTTTTCAGCATTTCTGGCATTTGGTGAAAAAGGATGTGTGCAAAGCTGTGTCTGATTTCTTTAAAATAGGTACAATGCTGAAAAACTGGAATCACTCGGTTATATCTCTGATCCTTAAATGTTTTTACCCTGAACAACTGAGCAGTTATAGACCAATAAGTCTCTGTGGGGTCCTGTATAAGATTGTGGCTAAGGTGTTAGCAGAAAGATTAAAAGGGTGCTTAGATGGGTGTATCAGTGAAGCTCAGACTGCTTTTGTTCCGGGGAGGCAACTCCTAGACAATGTGGTGATCGCCCATGAGATATTTCACTTTCTGCACAGACACACAACAGGAAAAAATGTTTTTATGGCTTTAAAAATTGACATGGAAAAAGCATACGACCGTGTGGAGTGGAATTGCATCAGGATGACTATGCAGAAGATGGGCTTTCACTCAAAATTTATAAGATGGGTAATGACATGTGTTTCTACTTCAACTTTCTCATTTAACCTGAATGGCAATGTTTCTGGTTATGTCTCCCCTTCGAGAGGAATTAGGCAAGGTGATCCATTATCACCTTACCTTTTTATTTTGGTTTCTGAATTGTTTTCAGTGGGGATTGCTCATCAGGTGAGTCAGGGTTTGTTTAGGGGGATCAAACTGTCAAGGGATGGACCAATGATTACACACCTTCTATTTGCAGACGATGCTCTTCTTTTTTGCAAGGCAGATGAACATCATGCCAACATTCTGATGAGGGTATTGCATAAATATCAAGAGTTTGCCGGTCAAAAAGTGAATCTCCATAAATCTTCCATGTTCTTGAGCAAAAATTGTTCAGTTGACTTGAAAGAGAAGATTTGTTCTATTTTATCAGGGGTAATTGTGAAGAGGTCTTCAAGGTATTTAGGGCTCCCCCTGGGGATTGGGGCATCAAAGATTGAAGCTTTTCAGTTTGTGGTGGAGGCTGTCAGGAGTAGAATTAGCAGTTGGAAGAATCAGTTTTTGTCTACTGCTGGGAAAGATATTTTGATCAAGGCAGTATTGAATGCACTGCCAATTTTTGTAATGTCCTGCTTTGTGTTGCCATCTGGGATTTGCAAGGAAATAAGTAGATTGCTGGCTGAGTTCTGGTGAAAAAAGGTGAGGGAAACAGTAAAGGGGTCCATTGGCTGGTTTGGGAGAAGATGACATGGTCTAAGCAGAATGGGGGCCTTGGTTTCCAGAATATCAAGTCCTGCAATAAAGCTCTTATTATTAAACAAATATGGAGGATTTATGAGAAACCAGAGATGCTGATTAGCAAAGTGCTGAAGTCCAGGTACTTCCCTTCTTGCTCTATCTTTGATTATTCTAAAAAATCTGGTGTCTCTTGGCTCTGGAGTTCTTGGTCTGCTTTAATTCCTTGGCTGAAAAATCATATGAGTATTGTGATTAAGAATGGAGCTGATACAAGGCTTGATGAGTTTGGTTGGATCCCTTTGATGAGAGGGGAGAAACCTGAAACAAGGGTGCATTTAGATCACAGTCAATTCAGGTTGAAAGATCTTCTGATTAATAATGGCAAAGGCTGGGATGAAGTGCTGGTGAAAGCATTATTTCAACCTGCAGTGGCTGAGAAAATCATGACCATTAACTCCCTTAATCCCAGAGTTGCAGATCTGAGGAAATGTACCTTTGCTGATAAAGGTAGGTTTTCTGTTAAGAAGGCTTATGAGGAGTTCTGCAGGATAGAATGGAACATGAACCATTGTGCAGAAACAAGTAATCTAGCCCAGAACAATAAGAGAGCAAGATTGAGGTGCTGGAATCTCAAAATAACAGGTAAGCTCAAGATTTTTATATGGAGATGCTTTACTAATATACTGCCTGTGAACTACAATCTGAAGAGAAGAGGAATGGTGATTGATACAATATGCAATTGTTTCGGGGAAAATGAGGAAACAGTGGTACATGCTCTGTTCTTATGTCCTAAAGCTAGATTAACTTGGAGGTTGGCTCCTATTCAATGGCAGAAACCAGCAGAGGAGGAAGACTTTAATTTTAAAGAATGGTGGTGGTGGCTGAGTTCAATGGACTTCAAGGAGACTTTTGAAGACAGAATTCAGTTAAGCACCTATATATTGTGGTGGCTATGGAAGGGGAGGAACCTGTGGGTATTTGAAAACAAAGAGATGGCTGCAAAGACAATCATTGACAGTGCAGTACAAGAATGGCGGGATTTTCAAGAAATTTAGCTGATACAAATGGGGATATGCTAGGTCTTTAGTCAGTGGTGTATTCATGTTTGGTTATTAGCTTGATTTGGTTATCATGTGTATTGTTTCTGTTCTCGGTTGTCAGCAGTGTTGGTCATAGTAGTGTATATGTCCTGTGCTTCGATTAGGCTACATTGTTGTGTGTGTAGTCTCTCATTATTAAGGCTTTGTACTGAACTTTGTTCTATGTTGGCCGATTAGCCTATTAATATGAGTGATGATATCTTGGGAAAAAAAAATCACATCGTGAATATATTTATATAAATGTATATTTCAATTTTTTTATATAATTTTATTTTTATTTTGAGTAATTATTACTGCAAATTAATATAAATGCACTAAAAAATACATTTTAGTGCAAAATAAAAACAATGTCATAGACTAAAAAAAGTGATTGATTTTTAAACCTTATTTTTTTTAAATTTTTCATCACATTTTTTATATTAAATTGATGTTCAACATTCATATATGAAAAAAATCGTTTGGTATTGAAACAAAAGGAGATGTAGCTCAATGGTATTATCCTTCTTAATTTGCTATGACATTCGGGGATCGAAACCCCGCATCTCCAAATATATTTTTTTTTTTTGTAATTTAAATGTAATACTATTTTTTTTAATTATAAACTTAATATATTTTCAATGTGTAAGTGATATCAAATATCCTTATACTTGCTCAAATTTTCACATAGTGATCTGATTCCATCTTTTCTATATATTATTTTTTCCAGATTTTTCACTTTGTTTATTTAATTTTATTTGCAATATTTTATTTACAAGTATGCTAAATGATTTTAATATAAGTATCGTAGATATGTTAGGCAATTGTTCAATTTAAAAGATTTTAAATCACATGAGCAGATGGACATTTCACATCGTAAATATATTTATACATACATATGTATCGATTTTTTATATAAAATTATAATTTATTTTTAACAATTATTACTTCAATTAAAATAGATGCACTAAAATACAATTTAGTGCAAAATAAAAACAATACCGAAGACTTGAAAATGTGATTGATTGTTTAAGACTTTATTTTTTTTAATATTTTATCGCATTTTCTATATTCAAATTATTTTTAACATACATATTTGAAAAAAAAAATATTAGGTATTTAAACATAAGGAGATGTAGCTCAACGGTATTATCATTCGGATTTGAGTATGACATTCGGGAATTGAAACCCCGCATCTCCAAACATATATATATATATATATATATATATATATATTGTAATTTAAAATTTAAAATTAATTTTTTTTTTTAATTTTAAACTTAATATATTTTCAATGTGTAAGTGATATCAAATATCCTTATACTTGCTCAAGTTTTCACATAGTGATCTGATTCCATCTTTTCTATATATTATTTTTTTCCAGATTTTTCACTTTGTTTATTTAATTTTATTTGCAATATTTATTTACAAGTATGCTAAATGATTTTAATATAAGTATCGTAGATATGTTAGGCAATTGTTTAATTTAAAAGATTTAAAATCACATGAGCAGATGGACATTTCACATCGTAAATATTTTATACATACATATATATCGATTTTTTATATAAAATTATAATTTATTTTTAACAATTATTACTTCAAATTAATATAGATGCACTAAAATACAATTTAGTGCAAAATAAAAACAATACCGAAGACTTCAAAATGTGATTGATTGTTTAAGACTTTATATTTTTTAATATTTTATCGCATTTTCTATATTCAAATTATTTTTAACATACAAATTTGAAAAAAAATGTTATGTATTTAAACATAAGGAGATGTAGCTCAACGGTATTATCATTCGGATTTGAGTATGACATTTGGGGATCGAAACCCGGCATCTCCAAATAAACATTTTTTTTGTAATTTACAATAAATACTACTTTTTTTGTACATTTTAAACTTAATATATATTCAATGTGCAATTGAAATCCAATATCGTTATATTTGTTCAAGTTTTTCTTATAGTGATCGGATTCCGTCTTTTCTATTTATTACTTTTTTCCAGATTTTTTACTTTTTTTTATTATATTATATTTGCAATACTAATTTACAAGTATGCTAAATGATTTTAATATAGGTATCTTTGATATGTTAGGTAATATTAATTTTAAATAATTTTAGAATAACATGCGCAGATTGAAATTTCACATCGTGAGTATATTTATATAAATGTATATTTCAATTTTTTATATAAGATTTTATTTTTATTTGAATAATTACTACTGCAAATTAATATAAATGCACTAAAAATTACATTTTAGTGCAAAATAAAACAATGTCATAGCCTAAAAAAAGTGATTGATTTTTAAACTTTATTTTTTTAAATCTTTCATCACATTTTTTATATTAAATTTATGTTCAACATTCATATATGAAAAAAATCTTTTGGTATTGAAACAAAAGGAGATGTAGCTCAATGGTATTATCCTTCTTAATTTGCTATGACATTCGGGAATCGAAACCCCGCATCTCCAAATATATTTTTCTTTTTGTAATGTAAAAATTAATACTATTTTTTTAATTTTAAACTTAATATATTTTCAATGTGTAAGTGATATCAAATATCCTTATACTTGCTCAAGTTTTCACATAGTGACTTATTCCATCTTTTCTATTTATTATTTTTTCCGGGTTTTTTTCACTTTGTTTATTTAATTTTATTTGCAATATTTATTTACAAGTATGCTAAATGATTTTAATATAAGTATCGTAGATATGTTAGGCAATTGTTCAATTTAAAAGATTTAAATCACATGAGCAGATGGACATTTCACATCGTAAATATATTTATACATACATATATATCGATTTTTTATATAAAATTATAATTTATTTTTAACAATTATTACTTCAAATTAATATAGATGCACTAAAATACAATTTAGTGCAAAATAAAAACAATACCGAAGACTCAAAATGTGATTGATTTTTTAAGACATTATTTTTTTTAATATTTATCGCATTTTCTATATTCAAATTATTTTTAACATACATATTTGAAAAAAAAAACGTTAGGTATTTAAACATAAGGAGATGTAGCTCAACGGTATTATCATTCGGATTTGAGTATGACATTCGGTGATCGAAACCCCGCATCTCCAAATATATTTTTTTTTGTAATTTACAATTAATACTACTTTTTTTGTAAATTTTAAACTTAATATATATTCAATGTGCAATTGTAATCCAATATCGTTATATTTGTTCAAGTTTTTCTTATAGTGATCGGATTCCGTCTTTTCTATTTATTACTTTTTTTCCAGATTTTTCACTTTTTTTTTATTATATTATATTTGCAATACTAATTTACAAGTATGCTAAATGATCGAAACCCCACATCTCCAAATATATATATTTTTTTGTAATTTACAATTAATACAACTTTTTTTGTAAATTTTAAACTTAATATATTTTCAATGTGTAAGTGATATCAAATATCCTTATACTTGCTCAAGTTTTCACATAGTGATCTGATTCCATATTTTCTATATATTATTTTTTCCAGATTTTTCACTTTGTTTATTTAATTTTATTTGCAATATTTATTTACAAGTATTCTAAATGATTTTAATATAAGTATAGTAGATATGTTAGGCAATTGTTCAATTTAAAAGATTTTAAATCAGATGAGCCGATGGACATTTCACATCGTAAATATATTTATACATACATATATATCGCTTTTTTATATAAAATTATAATTTATTTTTAACAATTATTACTTCAAATTAATATAGATGCACTAAAATAAAATTTAGTGCAAAATAAAAACAATATCGAAGACTTCAAAATGTGATTGATTT